TAACGAGAGAAGAACTCAATAATGATTTGAATCCTAACTCTACCCAGGTAAGTGCTTGGCATGACACAAAATCGGCGTGTGACTCTAATACCATTTGTAATGCTAAATGCTTACCCTTTGACCCAAAAACTTAAGTTATCAGGTAGTGATGCACACCGGCATATATATGTCAAAATCCTTATCTATTCAGACCCGATATGAAACTGATGGTTTTGTATGCTCTAACCCCTAGTATAGCAAATTTTAACATATTTAATAGACATTTGTCTAGTTCTTAAATCTATGGTTTGATTTGTAATGTTACCAATTTTTTTCATTTTTCATTTTTTTCATTTTTTTATTTTACAAGGGCATTCTCGTCTTTTCTCGTTTTACGTGTCGGACACCGTGGGGCGTGCCAGGTGTGTCCGAGAGTCGGTTGGGACGTTTCCTTGAGTTTGGAACTCTGGGAAATGCACTGGTTGCTATTTCAGCATTTTTTCATTTTTCGGGTCGGAAAGTCCCGTGTGGGACCCGCCATGGGAATTGTTGAGTATAGGGGTTATGGTTGGGTCCATTTACAGTTCATCTATATTTATTTATTGTGTTCTATGTGGTAATTGTATAGTTATATGCATATATGTGTGTGTGGTGAGAAATAAAAGGAAAAAGATTTTTTTGAAGTGGTGGGACCCACCACTACTAATTTTTAATTTTTGTGATCAAAGATGCCAACATTTTTGGCCCCATTTTCTCGTTCGCTCCCGGCACTACCTCTTCTCATCTCTTTTCTTTTCAATTTTTTTTCTTTTTCCTTTAAAGCTTCAAATCTTGATTGTTTCTCAACCAATTGGAGTTTTTGGTTGCCGTTTGCGGCAAAACGGAGAGCTTGGCGAGATCTACGTATGGATGTAAGCAATTGCTTGTTCGATCACCCATAGGATTTTCGAATTCTTGGGTTCTGGGCTTTGAAATTGGGGCTTTTGCATCCATTGAGGTAGGGGAAGTCTAAATCATGAATCCTATGGTTTTAGTGAATTTCTATGCATTTTTTTACTTGATATTATCAAGCATACTATTACTTCATGATGAAATGTGAAAGTATGATGTGTATGATTGACTTCATGATTTGGATGTTTTAATAATATGATTATGATGTATATCATAATTTGTGTATTGATAATTGGTTGTATGACATGCATATTCTTGACAAGGGGGTTAGTTGAGAGGATGAAAGTTAGTCTGGGAAGAATGGTTAGGAAGTGAGATGAAGGGTTGTGTTGTAAGTCAAGGTGATGGTCATGAAAGTTTTTAGTGAGGTCGGGTTGGAAAGGAAGAAGGAAGCATTTGCATTTCATGTGTGATGATATGTTTTATGAAATTGTGAAATTCATGTACGTTGAGATGATTTTCAATCCCATAATCCCTTTTCTTGATCTCTTTTTCTTTAGTTATGGCTCACAGGATTATTAGGAATGTGGTTTAGGTTTTTTCTACTGAGTTGTTGAGCTCACTCTATTATCATTAACATTTTTCAGGTAATTCGGAGGCGAGCCGGTGGATGATTTGCATCCATAATTATTGATGAAGTTAGGAAGTTCGTAATTCAAGTGTCCATGTATTTATAATTCATTTTGATGTATAATGATGTAATTAAACCTCATTGTGATGTATGAACATTACCTTTTCATTATACACGTGTTTATGGATGTTTTGGGATAGATTTAGAGTACCTTTGTAATCTTCACCAAAGTTTTCTTCATTGGCAGCAAAGTATAGAATTCCAGTAGTAGGTTTTAGGCTCACAGGGCTGTTTCGGCCGACTGAAATGGTTGTTTCAGTCGACCGATTCTTTGTTTGGTCTCGGGACTTTTGGGGTTCGGCCGACTGTTGCCCACTTCAATCGACCGGTTCAGGAGTCACTTCGGCCGGCCGAAGCTCCACTTCGGTCGATCGGTTTGTTGCTGCTTGTTGACTTTTGTCCCTTCTTTTGTATAGTTAACCCTTGACTCTTGGGAAGTTGTTTGGAGCCTCCTTAAAGTATAATTAAGACGTAAGAATGACGTGTTAACCTTGGGCATGATGTGGATTGACTTAGGCGTCCTCGGGTTTGGTTTCGGTAAGGACCCAATTAACGGTTTAGACCCACAGGTTCGGGTCGTTACATGATTAAATGTTTTTTTATATCGGTGATTACTATGTATTGGTCGATTCAGGATTATGAATCAAGGATGTCCATTAGACTACGCAAGTGATTTACATATATGTGAAGGTTTTCGGGATATATAAATCACAAAATTGTGTTATTGTTCATCATCGATAAAAAAAGGATGGACTCTTTATCAATTAATAAATGAACTGGATCTAAGATAAGTCAAGTCCACTACGAGAGTATCATAATAATTGCTCATTAACACCTTCATGATGAATGACCTGCAAACATGAGAGATGTATGAACTCTTATATTGATTGAAAGTTGATTTAATTTATTGAGTGGGCCCTAGGTAGGGAAGAAGCTACGGGGAAGACTAAGGGCATGAAGGGAAAAAAAAAGAAGAAAAACACTTATATATGTATTGTATGTATGCCAAAATTAGACATAATTTTGTATGCATAGAACATGATATACATTTTTGTTTATACATGATTTTATCTCTTTTTTTTATTTTTTTTATTTTTTATATTAAAAAAATAGAATACTTCCATATAAAGTATAATATATTATAATTTAATTCTAACTTTTTAAAATTTTATTTTCATGCATGAGTTTTCCTCTTTAATTATACGCTTTTGGGACGTCCGCCCTGGCCCTACAAAAAATAAAAAATTTATTTTATTCATCAAACAGAAAATAATCAAAGAGTGATTGGAATAATAACATTTATTTATCCGATAACTAATTATGAATAGATGGTTCACTATACAAATTGATTTAGTGGTTAATTATTTTTTAATTGAAGTTCAACCATTTTTATTTAGTGAAATTAATTTTGGTTAATGGATTAATTGAATTAGGTCAATGAAGTTTTGACCAATCAATTATTAGTCCATTGAAAAATGAAGAAAATGAGCTCAATTGATTCTCATTCCTAATCCATGGTTCGAATTTAAGCTAAGAGATTGGAAATAGCAAGGTAGGTGGTTGAGATTGATTAAAAAAGTCTAAAGGAGTTGTAGAGTATGGTATTGTCACCCTCAAATAACTATATTATAAATAGAACGCTTGTAGATTTGTCTTGACCTAGCATCATATATCGTCTTCCATTAGGATCTATTGCTCCTTGTGAAGTAAGAAAATTTATCTGCATTTTCTATTGAGATCATTAAATCTAATCTAACGGTTACTATAGAAACCCACCTATATTCTTTTCTTTTAATACAAAATCACCATCACTATTTTTAGTTTCCAAATTTAATATTTACTAAATCACTAATTACAACAATAAAAGATAATTACTAAAAAAAAATATATAAAAATATCTTCACATCTGAAAATCACGTCCCTCTCAAACAAAGAACTACAAGAGTATTTTCTCTTTTTCCATACAGATTGAATTTGCGAGTTCTTTATCTCCTTTGTCTCCCTTTAATCCTAAGTTCCGATTCTTACAAAAGTGCCACAAATCATTCACAAACTTTGTTTAGCAATTTCATGATAAATCATAATCATAATCATACATACCATACCTATTCACATTAGAAAAATTAAACTAATGACATATCAAATGTGGACTCAAAAATATATATAAATAAAAATAATTTTTTTTTTTTTTTTTTTTTTTTTTTTTTTTTGCACTACACATCACTTGCTTAAAATTTAATGGACTAAAATATCTTCTTTTTTTATTTATTTATTTGTTTTTATACCACTTCGCTTCGCTTACAATTATTTGTTTGAGAGAGACATGATTTCTAGAGGTGAAGAGGTTTTAATTTTTTTTTGGGTAAATTACCTTTTATTATTGTAAATAGTGATATTGATAAATATTAAATTTAGAAACTAGAAATAGTAGCAATAGTTTTATATTAAAAGTAAATGATAAAAATAGGTTTTTATAATGGCAGTTAGATTAGATTTAATGATCACTATAGAAATTGCCGATAAATTTTTTGGCTCCATTGGGAGTAAGAGACCATTACTCTATCATCTTCTCTATATTATGTCTACCAATTCTATTGTTTCTTGCTTCATCTCTATTGTTCTCACAAACATGGCTTAAGAAATTCAACAAGGACACCATGGGAGCGAATCTAGAAGGCAAGGAAATACAAAGGAATAAGGAAGGTGAAGGACCTGAGGACTAAAGCTCCAGGTGTCTCCATCTTCTTAGAGTTGGTGTTTGAGATTTATTCAATCCCAAAGGTATAGGACTCTTAATCCTTATGTATACATATGTATATATTTATTCAATCATCTATATTCATTTACAAGAATGTCGCTACACAAAAATTTGGATTTGAGAATTAATTCATGCTTCTATTTTTATTTATTTATTTTTAAATTCTCTTTTTCCAACATAGACAAGTCCCCTTTAATATTTGTAGGGAGAAATTGGAGATCACTTTACATATGGTGTGGCGGTTTTTCCGCATTCATGAATTTAAAGGTTGTAAAGTCTCTAGTCAAGTAACTCTTTATTTTTTTTTAGATTTATGTTAAACTAAAAGAGTTATGCTATTCAAGCCCAAGTCCCAAGTCACAAGTCTTCACCGACTTGGGCTTCAGCCCATCATGTGTTTCGGGCCAAGTCTTCAGTGGAAGAATTGGGCCTAAATATAATTATCCTACATAAAGTAAGGGAAAGGATGGAGGGAATAATAGAAGAAGTGCACATTCATAAATTGCCTTTTTATTATCTTTGACATCCAAAAACCTATCAGAACTAACAAGTTCAATGCACTGTGTCTGCAAAGAACTGAATCACAGAAAAGTTTACTCTTTCTGAAAACAAGACACTGTAACTGAAGGTCCAACTAAAACACAATGTTAACAACATAGTGAGCAAAGCTATCTATAACTACTACCACTCAGAGTGCAGGTTATGCAGGCTCTGCTGAGCATTTGAGTATCCTAACCCCATTATGCCACTACCATCATAGCTACTTTTCTTCTCGAAACTTGAATGACCAGATGGCTCTATCCCTAAGAAGTCAACAGTCATTTTTTCACCTCCTCCCATGAATGCTTCTCTTTCCAAGAGACTACTAGAGTTCCCATTTGAGGACTGCATCAAAAAATCAGAATTGTATAAACCAGATTGAGACATGTTGTAACCATTTCTAAAATCTCCTGTCTCCATATTCTTGTCTAGTGTTTCGATATTCCCAACGTATAACGCGTTGGTGGCTGCAGAAATCTCCTGAACTGGTCCTGTTGAGTTCATAGTGCTAGTAGAGTACCCTGTAAATCCTCTGAGGAGAATTGGGGAGATTGAATTGTCACTGATTTTTGCTCCCATTTCTGCAGCTTTCTGTAACAAGGCAGTTGCCGACGTGTAGGGAGAGCCGATTGCCAAGGGAGAGTTATTTGGTCCACCTGCAGAGCTGAAGCATGGCCGCGTTGTTCTTGGATTGAAAATGGGATCCAAGTTGTTCGGTAACATTACACCGTGTGAGTTCAGAGACAATGGTTTTAGTGGATTGTCATTGTTGTCAAGAGGGACCGGCAGATTCATCATGGAAGTGTTTGTGTTTGTGGCACAGGAATCAGAAGTGGTCATTGAAGAAGTGAACAGCTCTTGAGCTTGGTTCTGTGACATTCCTCCTGTGACTGCAAGAGTCTGGTTCATTTTGTAATTCTCCTCTGTTAAAGCGTCGCAGAAGGCTCTGTGAGTGACAAAACTATCCTTCCTGCACAACACATTTGAGGGATGAAAAATTCAGATTATCAGATGAAAAAGTATTGTTGCATTTTATGCACCATTTTGTCTTTATAACCAAGATAAATGAATACACTGATTGCTGGCACTTTTATACGTGGATGCCTCCTGACTGTGTAAACGCTTTGAAAATCGTGACCATAAAAAGTATGTAAAGCCAACAGTATCCACAGTGATACTAATATATGTCACATTAGAATGGAGTATGAACGCGTTGAGGAAATGAAAATAAAGGTGCAAGATTAGGGTTTAAATGAACAAAAAGCATAAATCTTAATTCACCTTGAGAAAATAGTCCCACAATCACACCGGTATTCACGTGTTCCACAGATCTTTGCGTGAGCTTTCCAGTCCGATTGTACAGCATAACGCTTTGAGCACTTGTCGCACTTCCATTTCTTCTCTCCGTGCTTCCTGCAGAAGTGCTTCTTTATGCCGGTCAAGTCACCAAGAGCCCTGCTGGGGTCATGATGCACACAGTTCGGCTCGGGACACACATACACCCTCTTCTTCACTTGTGTGTTTGGCCTTTGCTTGAGCTTCCACGGCAAGTTATGGCCTCTCCTATGGAGTTGAAGGTTCTGATCTCTCTGGAATCCTTTATGACACACCTCACAAATGTACCTATTTGTTGCCATTAGTGTCCTAGGTGACAAGGCCACAACTTCTGCATCTGGATCTGAAAATTTCCACCCAGAAGAATACAGAGAATGATTATTTTGGTACTTTCATAATCTCACTACTCATTAAATGAATTACTCAAGAAAACGGTTATTTTGACTGTGATATCTTTATGGTCATACTTAATTAGAAATGTCTACGTGGTGATCACTATCCACAGAACCACAACAGCCATCATGCTAACCATATTATAAGAAAAAGGAAGATAGATGTATAGATATACAGATATATATATATATAGAGAGAGAGAGAGAATGCATAGAATTTAACTTGAATAAGACCATAGACCACATCTTAAATATTATATGATTCAAGACTCAGCTGAATTGGCAGCTTTCACTTTATAGTACTGTTGCTAATCTTATACTAGCATAGTGACCATGGCTATATCCCACCTTAACCCAAACAATTCCTAAACTCTGTCATTTGATTGCTTCATCTTTTAATTTTAAAAATAAATTATTCAAGAAAATGTATCAGAATTCACGAAGTTAGTCAATTTGAAAGGTCAAGATGATTATGAGTTTGATATAATTAGAAAAGCCTTCAAAATATTTAAAGCCTAACACAGACTCTCTTATAAAAGGTTACAAAATTTGTATTATTTTGTGGAACTGAAGTAGAAGTCTATAGTTTCATTTCCTAATTCATAGAATCAAAATTTAAATTTCTTTGGAAGTACTTTATCAAACTGATAACTCTTTATAACAAGTCCTCTGAAAATCCGGACAACTTAGTCCTAACGGACAAATGAAACACATTTAAACAACACAGATACCATAGTATGTTAGCTTGCCTGGATTCCCCGGGAGGTTTCGTTTCCTCTTTGATGTGGTGGCGGTAGTTGTGGAACCATCAGCACCGTTTTCAGTAGGATTAGGACTCCCATTGGACAACTCCATAGCTGTATTGCTATGGAACTGTTCGTCATCTTCTTCATACTCTTGGACAAAGTTTGACATGTTTGGAAGTTTTTTTGATCCTATTCCATGTTAGGAAGAGGGCAGCTGATGATATATGCTCAAGAAAGGTGGGAGAAAGGAAGCAGACAAAAAGAAGAAGAAATTCCATACCAACCTCAATCAAAGACCATGGTCCAATCAATATTATATTTGGATTATAATTCTATCAATAATCGCATCATTTGATTAAATAACATTAAATAATTATCTAAAAATTGACATTAGGATTTTCTCTGTTTGTCCTATTTTCCTGGTAAAACAGGAAAACTTGAATTTAACTACATTTGGCTTGAAATTTGTACTGCTTTGAACTTAATGTTACTGCCAAATCATTGAGTAACAGTGCTGCAGTTAAAGACTTTGCCGTTCACCAATGCAACGAAAAACCAGTTGAAATTGGAGTCTAACATGAGCAGAAGGGATGGGGACAAATCATAAACCGACACGAAAAAGAATTCCAGAGGAGAGATCCGTATGAAGAGACAACATTTGCCTTCTCCTTAAATTAAAATAAGATGTTATGCCTACCTGCAGCCCTTGGATACTCTTCAATGGTTAGTATGTATTTGTGTTTGTCATACCTAATTGTCATTTAGTTTGCGTGTCTATACAAGTTTATCTTCATATCGCGTGGAGAATTTCGTTTGTGTACACAGAATATGACAAATTAGTTGGAAGCTCTTCCTCTATATCTCAATTATGTGAGTTTTAAGGGCTTGTGTTTCTATGCATGTTTCAGGATAAGGGAACATTATAGGAAGAGTTGAGGGATGGTTAGAGACTTAGAGTAAGTATCATAGAGGAAGATTTAGGGATAACAATTGATTGGTTCTTTTGGCCTCTAGGGATAGTTTTTGCTACAGTGTAAGTTAAACTTTCTCATACAACTCAACAAGAAGGCATGCCGTCCCAGTCTCCATCGTTGACAAGTTACTTCTTGGGAGTGAATTTTCTTTCTTGTGTTTGTTTCTTGAGAAAAAGGATTTTTTTTTTCTCTCCCCGCGGGATAACCACTCAGTCAATGAGTAATGGCTTTTAACATCACTTTTAAGGTAGGATGGATTATGTTAATCCTTGTTGCTAGATCTCGAGTAAAATTCACGGAATCTCAATCAACTATGCTGACAAAAATTCGGCTAGACTGATATACTTTTGCTAGCTCATGAAATAGCTAAGACTAATTACTTCAAATCCATTTTGCTATCTCATTACTTAAACTAATTAAGCAACCCCATTGTACATTAGTCTGGTTTGCATTAGCTAGAGCAAAACAAGTCGACCCAACAAAGAGTTGACACCAAACTTCTGTTTTTGATACAAAATTTATGTTGGAAGTTTCAAATAAGAAAACAATATTGAGAAATACAAATGGGATGTGCAGTCTATACTGACAATCAAAGCTCAATATTTTACCTTCAAACTCTGTTTAATAACTTTGATTCAACATGCTTGAGTCGTGTATGCTCAATATTCTCTCTTATGGTATTAATTTGATGATTGGAATAGACTTTTCTTATAGAAGTCAAATTCTAGACACCTTTTTGATATTCAGATTCTATGTCGAGTTCTTGAGCTCAAGTATGCGTCTTTGTATGTGTATTTAATGTCATGTTTTAGTGATATTTTGTACAAAACTTATGAGAGTCATTAAGACTTTACAGAAGAGAACACAAGAAGAAACAGAGGTAGACACCATGTGCTATTTCAGGTAGAATTATAAATAATTTTAATAAGGGATATCTAAACTTACCTCCCTTCTATATTGCCTATATAACATTGACCTCTCTTCTAGTTTTAAAAATAACACTGACATCCCTCTACTTCAAGTCTGAGTAGCATTGACCTCTCCTCATAAAATTGATGCTCAAAATTTACTTAAAATCCCGTGAATACCCTTAGAAACTTTGAAAATATTATTTTGTACATGTTGAACTAATAAAAGTAATATTTAACACAATCACGTCAAAGTTAACACTGACAGAAAGATCAATGTTATTTTAAAAATTATATGGGAAGCCCATATTATTTAGGCAATTTACATGAGAGGTAAACCGTAAACTATTTTGTGAAAAACAAAAGGCAGAAGAACTAGCTTGATTGATAATTTTTTTTTAAAAAACTGGGTAAAATTAGTGACCAATTTTCATAAAACATTGTCTTATAATTTCCTAAAAAATGTATTATGTTATCTTGCACTAGTTTTTTTTTTTAATATTGTTTTTCATAGAACTAAAGCAAATAGTCTGCGTGTTGGCAAAATTCCACCTTGACATGTTTTCCGTGAATTTTAATCATTCAAATTGAACAGCCCTCGTGAAATTGACATTTCCAGAAATAATGAATTAGATTATAAACTTGCAATTCTTTTCGAGCTGTTACCATATGAATTGTCCCTTTTTATTTTTATATTTATTTTTGTGTGTGTTCTTTAGCCCATATTTACTTTTAAAACTCGGATCCCTGCACATACTCGTCATGTGCAAAAGTGAAACACATATATATCACAATGCAATACAATTAACCATATAACATTTGAAAAAACAAAATTATGCATCACATTTATACTAAAGATTCAACACTCATCATATTATATCATATTGCAACGTTATCACATTGTTAAATTGAAAATTTAACACGTTTACATAATTAATTTAAGATTTATTGTAATTATAATTTAAAATTTTGTGTGTGCGTGTATATATATGTATCTCAAATATCAATATAAATTAACATAGATATATCATTTTAATTTAGGCATAAATCATGAATAAAAAAGGGCAAGTACCATGAGTGTAAGAATTTGGAATACACCAAAATTCAAAAAACAACATCTAGAGTTCCCAATCTGATTTATTCTTTAAATCAATCAAATGGAATTATTATAAAATTAATTAATATTATGAATATATATATTTTTAAATCAATCCAATGGAATTATTATAAAATTAATTAATATTATGAATATATATATTTTTAAATCAATCCAATGAAATTATTATGAAAATAATTTTGAGTCATGATACACTATTTAGCTGATTAAGCCAATAATATAAATAAACGATTACTTAATATATTTTATATAATGTTCATAATATGATGTCATTTTTTTTTTCTATTTATTTCTTTTTTCCCCCTCTATCTCCTTCATTTTATGAATTGAGTTGATTGGAAATACAACATTAGTTTGCATGAAGCATATAATTAACTTTACCAATCATATACCCCAATTAAATATTCAACAATATGTTAATATGATTTTACAAATATGTTTAATATATACCTCAATTAAACATCCAACTCAATGAAAAATGAAACAAAAAAAGTTAAGGTTCATGTCATTTATGGCTATCTATGACCTAGTTGGTCTCAAATTCATTTATGACCTCATACATCTCATCTTCACTAGTCAACAAGGGCAGAGGGAGTTAAGGACTTTTTATGAAAATATGGAAAGTGCCCTCCTGAATTTTCTCATTTTTTCGTAAAATTCTATATATGTTTCCTATTTTTTTTTTTTCCCTAAATTGTTTCCTTAATCTTATATTCTATATATATAAATTAATTTCATCCCAAAAATGTCACTATCTTTATATATATATATATATATACACACACACACATACACTCATAAACATTAACTTATATGCATCTACATTATATTATAAATATATGTTATGATATACAATACTATAATGTGCCTCCTGAAATTTTTTTCTGGCTCCATCCGGCTAGTCAATGGTAGTTTTGGCATTCTATTTTTTTAATTAGTTGACTTTTGACTTTTTTAACGGTCAATTAATGAAATGGTGTGTTAAAGCAAAGTTAACCAAACCTAAGAGGAGGTTTAGACCTTTTTTTTTTCCCACTAGTTTAATCGTGAGTAATAAAAGTATACCTGAGAGGTGTCAGAGCATTTTACATTAAATAAAATAACCTAGGTTTGCTTAATATATACTTAATATTCTTAATATAAAAAAATTAAAAGGCCAAAATTGTAAATTATATGTATAAATGAAGCGGGGTGACCTTTTTTTGTTCCGCTCCCCAACCATGTAAGTTTTCCATTCTAATCTCATTCTTATCTCAAAATTATTTAATCACTCCCATGATTTTTCTAAATGTGTAGGTATTTTACCATCTCTAATCTGAATAGACTGAATGTATAGGTGTATAAAAATCAATGTGGTGTTACATTAATTCAGTTTTTTGAAATATTTGAATCTTAAAATTTGTCCAAAATTATTTTCAGAATTACATTTAAAAAATAAAATACTATAAAATTGCTTTGTATCCTTGCACACACTTGAATTCCGCGTTAAGTATCATCAATCTTCTTTTCGAATTGACTGGAAAACACAAAATTGAACTAAAAAATTTTGAAATTGATATTGCCAATACTTAGTAAAATACTCAAAACCTCGGGCATCTGCTTGTCTTTTTGTCATGCATTTATTTCCCACATTTCATGGCAAGGAAAGTTTACTCTAATTTAATTGCTAAAACATTTTCGATATTTAAATTTTCAATTCATGACAAAGACTTTTATGTATTTTTAATATTTTATTATTGTGCCATCAACCAATTATATCAATCAATTTTTACCCAATCCACCCTTCAATTATGCAACAAAAAAAAAAAAAGGAAAAAAAAAATATTTTCTTTTGACGTGATATTTGGTACTGTGGCAAATGATAGTTATCTTTCAACCCATCTCACAAAATTGCAAAAATAATAATAATAATAATAAAATCATAACAAAATTTTTATGAAAACAAAATTCTAACTAAAATTTTAAATCAGAAAATATCTATTTACGTTGAAACTTAATAATACACCATACGTAGTGGCTGTGTTATAAATTTTAGACACTCACAATTAGATGTATCCGAAATTACATGTTTTTGAGAATTTTTAACATTTATCCAACTAGGATGTAGTTATTAAATGGGATGGTTTACATTAGGATGGGAGACTGGATGTTACTACCATAGATTACGTGG